ATGCGTCGGCGTTCCGTGTCTGGGGATCTCGGGCGTTTGTCCGCGACTTGTCTGCGGACAAGCTGTCCCCTCGTGCTGCTCCCTCTGTCTTCCTTGGCTTCCCCACAGACGCTCCCGGGTGGCCGTTTTACCACCCCTCCTCTCGTCGTGTTCTGTCCTCCCAGGACGTCACGTTCGACGAGTCAGTCCCCTTCTACCGCCTCTTCCCCTACCGCACTCCTTCCCTCCCCCCTCCGCTGGACTTCCTTGTGCCGGTTCCTCCCCCGGTAGACCCCCTCCCCCCTCAGGTTCCTGCCCCCTCGGGTGTGTCCCAGGTAGACGCAGTTGACCCGGTCGAGGTTACTGGTGACTCTGGTGCTGCTGCGGGTGCTGAGCCTGGGGGTGCTGACTCTGGGGGTGCTGTGCGCGGGGGTGCCGGGCCTGGAGGTGCTGCTACTGGGGGTGCTGAGCCTGGGGGTGCTGGGCCTGGGGGTACTACTGCGGAGGGTGCTGAGCCGGGGGGTGCTGTGCCTGGAGCTACTGAGCCTGGGGGTGCTGTGTTGGGAGCTGCTGAGCCTGGGGGTGCTGAGCCTGGGGTTTCTCCTGCTGCTGCGTCTCGACGGGAGCCCCTCTCTCCACGGGAGCTGCGCGAATGGTTTGCTCGCCGCTGGAGGCTTGCTGCTGGAGCTGGAGCTTCTTCGACCGTCGAGGGTGCTGGTGCTACCGGTCCCGGAGCTGCTGGGCCTGCGGGTCCTCCTGGAGCTGGAGCTGCTGAGGGTGTTGGTGCTGAGACCACTGCTGTCTGTCCTCGCGGTGGTTCTGCTGCTGGTACTGCTGGAGGTCCACCCGCTGGAGGTGTTGGTGGCGCTGGTACTGTTGCTGAGGGTGTTGGTGCTGTCCCTGCTGAGTCTGGAGCTGCCGCGCGGCCTCGGCCGTACTTCGTTCGGCTCCTGCGGCAGGTTCTTGGTCTTTCTCCTCCGGTAGAGTGTCCACAGCCTGTCCAGTCGCAGTCACTGTTGGAGCCTTCCTCTCCTCTGCTTGCTCCCTCTCCTTACACTGGTCCTACTGGAGGTCTTACTGAGCGTCGTGAGCCTGCGTCTCGTCCCGCGTCGCCTGTTCGTGCTGCTCGCGCTAGTGGTCGCGGTTCGCGTCACCGTCCTCCTCCTGTCCCTGGCACGCACCGGATGTCTCTGCGTCCGTCCACTGCTCCTCTACGTGCCCCTTTGCCTTCTCCTCCTGAGTCCTCTCTTCCTGCGCTTGCCGACCCTGAGTCGGACTCTCTTCGTGCTGCCAGTCCTACTGTCACGCGTCTGCTTGCTACTGTCGTCACTGGCCCCTCGTTTGAGTCCACTGCTGCCTCTGCTCTTGTCGCTGAGCTCGTCGACTTTGCTGCTAGCTGTCGTCTAGACTACGCTGCTCGTCTTGTTGCTGAGTCTGCGTCTGTCTGTCCTCCGTCCGTCGGGGGTGAGTGTGCTCTTGGCACGGACGTCCTAGAGGACAGGCAGGAGGAGTTACAGTGTCTGGCTGCTGCTTCACCTCATCTCGCGTCTGTACTGCTTGCTCCTGAGGGAGACCCGGATGCACTAGACATCCCGACTCCGCGCTCTTACGCGGAGGCCGTAGAGGGTCCCTACTCCTCTCAGTGGCAGGCAGCTATGGATGCAGAGATGGCTTCCTGGAAGTCCACAGGCACCTACGTTGACGCAGTTCCCCCTCCTGGGGCGAACATCGTCAGTGGCATGTGGATCTTCCGGGTGAAGCGGCCGCCGGGCTCTCCACCTGTCTTCAAGGCGCGGTACGTTGCTCGTGGCTTCAGTCAGCGGCAGGGAGTTGACTACTTTCAGACCTTCTCTCCCACCCCGAAGATGACCACTCTTTGGGTGCTGCTGCACATAGCCGCTCAGCGCGACTACGAGCTTCACTCTCTCGACTTCAGCACTGCGTTCCTGCAGGGTAGCCTGCACGAGGAGATCTGGCTGCGCCGTCCACCTGGCTTCACTGGGACTTTCCCTCCTGGCACCCAGTGGAGCCTCCGACGGCCAGTCTACGGTCTCCGCCAGGCACCGCGTGAGTGGCACGACACACTGAGGACTACGCTTGCGGCTCTTGGGTTTGCTCCGTCTACTGCTGACCCGTCGCTGTTTCTGCGCACCGACACTTCACTGCCGCCGTTCTACATCCTCGTGTACGTCGACGACTTGGTCCTTGCCACAGCGGACACTGCTGGACTCGCCTACGTGAAGTCCGAGCTACTGAAGAGACACACGTGCACAGACCTGGGTGAACTGCGCAGCTACCTTGGCTTGCAGATCACTCGGGACAGAGCACGCCGCACCATCACCTTGACTCAGTCACACATGGTGCAGCAGGTCCTTCAGCGCTTCGGCTTCACGTACTCCTCGCCTCAGGCCACTCCTCTGTCTACTCGTCACTCGCTCTCAGCTCTGCCTTCGGATGAGTCCGTAGAGTCGAGTGGCCCGTACCCAGAGCTTGTTGGCTGCCTCATGTACCTGATGACCTGCACTCGACCTGACCTTGCATACCCTCTGAGCATTCTTGCACGCTATGTTGCTCCTGGGAGACACCAACCAGAGCACATGGCTGCAGCGAAGAGGGTATTGCGCTACCTGTGCAGTACGTCGGGCATGGGGCTAGTGCTTGGAGGGCAGAGTCCAGTGGTCCTTACAGGCCACGCGGACGCTTCTTGGGCTGACGACCAGGCTACGCAGCGGTCGTCACAGGGTTACACCTTCAGTCTTGGTTCCGGCTCTGTCTCGTGGCGGTCTACTCGTTCGTCTTCGGTTCTCAGCTCCAGTTGTGAGGCTGAGATCTACGCCGGGGCCATGGCTGCACAGGAGCTTCGCTGGCTCACCTACCTGCTGACTGACCTTGGAGAGCCGCCTCGTTCTCCTCCAGTGCTGTACGTAGACAACAAGGCCATGCTGGCCTTGTGTCGAGAGCAGCGCTTGGAGCACAGGACGAAGCACATTGCTCTCCGCTACTTCCTTGCTCGTGAGCTGCAGCAGCGTGGTCAGTTGCGACTTGCGTACGTGGCCTCTGAGGCCAACAGTGCTGATGTGTTCACCAAGGCACTCCCGCCTTGTGACCATCAGCGCTTCTGCACCCAGCTGGGTCTTGTGCCTGTCTTGCCTCACTTGCTCTCTTCTTGACTTTACTTGTACTGTGACATATATATACCTGCTCCTGCTTGTCTAGTTTTATATATATGTCTGTACTCCTCCATGTGAACTGGCCTCTGGCCCTGCTCTTGTGCTCGGACTGTGTGGTGACTTTGTGATCCACCCTGAGCTTGCTTTGCTTTGCTTTGCTTGACTGGTCTTGTGACCCCTTGTTCTCCCCCACTTTGCCTATGGGGGTGTGTCAGATTATTATAGCTGATGCATGTTTGTAGGCCATAGTGGGGTAGCACATATGGGGTACAGCTTTCTAGGGTTGTATTTGTACCCAACACTGACTTAGTCATTCCCCATTCCTGGTCATTTATTTTCACACTCCTCATCTGGACTCAGCAGCCCGTCCTGCCATAATTGCCTCCACGAGCAGAAGCACCGACAGACCATCCTCCCATCCCCCTTGCAGCAATGATTCACCATTACCCACAGCCCCTGCCGCAACCCCTCCCCCCTACATATCGGCTGCAGCAACCTCCCCCGTGCCCCCTGGCCCCTCGAATAGAGCAGCAGCCAACAACCCCCCTGTCTCTGCAACCGCAACACACTGGCGCGCACCAGCTGCACGAACCACCACCTTCTCACCAATATCCTCTCCAACTCAAGCCGCAATGGCCTCACCTGGGCGTGCTGCTGTGCCGTCTACTGCTGAGCGCACCCCACCACGTACCCCCGCGCCAGTATCAACGCCGTCTCCTGCTCGTGGATCTCACGGGTCTGCGTTGCGGGAAGACATGGCTGGAGGCATCTCGGGTTTAGGGGCACGAGATGCAGGCAGTGCTGGAACAAGGCGTCGCCTTAGTATGTCTGGGCCCGTTCAAGGATCTCGGGCCAGTGGTCGCAGCAGCGGGACCTTGGACGGCGAAAACATGGCAGCAATTGCTAGCGTGCTGCAGCAGGGAGTCACCTTCAGGCAGGAGAGTGAGTTCTTAACCCCATCAGTATTCGTGTTGGTCCATTTCCTGTGTCGCTTTAAGCGCGTGCATCCTTGCTCGTTTGTCGGTTGTACTTTCATATGTTCTTCGCAAAAGCTATAATGCGTGCTCACTCCATGACTTGTGCATTGTACCGTCACGGTTTATTGCACACACCGTGTCCTCAGGGTAGTTATGTTTCTTGAAAGGATACCACTTACCCCTCATGTAAAGGTACTTAAACCCTTCCTGAGCTCATGACGTCATGTCTCCTCACGTGTTCCCGCGTGAAGACACCCACTCAGATGATGCGAACATATCTCTGAAGAACGCCACAAGTATTATGACATCCATGGCGGATGTCTCTGATCGGGACAAAGTCTATGTCATCCTTCTATTTATTCGGAGCCCCCGGGATGCTGTGGCATTTGAGGCGATGAATGACGAGCTACGACGCTGGTATATTGCTGCAGTGACTTGTGGATCCCGGTTCCCCAAGGCGGTCTACGATCCCGATTTATTCTGGCATGGACGAGTGGGAGAATGGGCCGGAATGGTACAAGGCGGAGAGGAGCGAGCCCGGGGAGGACAGGGCGCTAGAGTTGAAATAGAATCAGAGGAAGGAAGAGACGGAACATGGGGTGGAATGGGAGCACGGAGAGGAATGGGAGCAGAGGGGGGCACAAGAGTAGGGGGAGGACAGGGAGCAGGGGTAGGGCTGGAAGCAAGAGGGGGGTTGTTAGCAGGAGGTTGGCCGGGAGCAGGAGGAGAAATGGAAGCAGGGGGGAGAGGGAGAGTAGGAAGAGGAATGGGAGCAGGGGTGGGAGTGGGAGCAGAGGGGGGGGTGGGAGGAGAGGGGGGAATGGAAGGAGGGGGGACAGTGGGAGCAAGGTCTGGGACGTGATGACAGGGGGGGATGGGCGCCGGTGGAGGAACGCCAGCAGGGGAACGATCGGGAGCAGTAGGAGGGCTGGGAGAAAGAGGACGGCTGGGAGAAAGAGGCCTAGGAGCAGGTGGGGGAGTGGGTTTAGGGATGGGAATGGGTGCAGGGGGGGGAGCGGTATTAGGGGGGTTGCGACGAGCAGGGTTAGGGCTGGGAGCGCGTGGAGGTCCGGGAGCAGGGGGAGGAGTGGAAGCAGGGGGGGGAATGGGAGCCGGGGGAATGCTGGAAGCTACATGGCTGGGGACTAGAGGAGCGCTGGGACCAAGAGGTGGGCAATTAGCAGGGGTCGCCATGGGCACAAGGGAAGGACTGGGCGCAAGTGGAGGACTGGGCGCATGGGGAGGAGGGGGCCCTTGGGTGGGAATGACAGTAGGGGGGGGAGTCGGCCAAGAGGATGAGCAGGGGGCAGATGAAGTGCTGGGGGCAGATGAAGTGCTGGGGGCAGAGGAAGTGCTGGGGGCAGAGGAAGTAGTGGGGGCAGAGGAAGGAGTGGGCACAGAGGAAGGAGTGAGGGCAGAGGAAGGAGTGAGGGCAGAGGAAGGAGTGGGGGCAGAGGTTGAGCTGTGCCACGAGAGTGCGGAGCGGCGGGGGACCACTATGTGATCGCCAGGGGCAGGGGGGGTATAGGGGACATAGGGGGCACAGGGAGTAGAAAGAGCATTGTGGGTAGAGGTAGCGTAGGGTTCAGAGGGAGCGGCAGGCGCTTGATTGGTAGAGAGAGAGCAAACAGAGGGCATAAAGAGCAGGTGGAATGGATAGGGCCGGTGTACGCTTGTTGAAAGAATCTAGACTGGAAGCGACCCGAGAAGAGGTAGTACTGGGGGGTAGTGAAAGCAATGGGAGTAATATTGGTAGAAGGATTCAGAGGGTGGACAGAGAGCAGAGAGTGCATGGGGGGTGCAGGGTGGGAGCATTCTTGGTAAGTGTAACTGATGAAGGAGTGGGCTTCCCGAGATCAGAAGGAAAAGAGTGGGATGAGAGAGCATACCCCCAAAACGTGGGCGGGAAGGAGGCAGCTGGAGCATATTGGGCAGAGGGAAAAAGGGGGAGCATCATTGTGCGAAAAATTAGAGAACGCAGATAGATGGGCAGGAGTGAAAAGAGCAAAACGGAACATACGGAGCTGAGGGAGCTGTGTGAGTGGACATTGTAAGAGACTTAGCTGAGGCGAGCGGTCCAGCTTCAGTGGCCACAGGGGATCAAGCGAGCACGAGTCGCTGAATAATGCAAGGGAAACGTCCCTCAATGTCAGAGTCGATGTTTGGGGATATGGGGTCAGCATCACAGTGGTTGACAGGGATTCGGTCACAGGTGAGGCGTGCTTGTGCCTTAGTGGGTGAATTCATTGAGTTTGTAATTCGATCCACTCCCCACCGTGTCGCATTTGGCTAGCCCCACCACCAAATCTCCCTCGCACTGCAATGGACGGTGAGGTTCGGGATGTGTGCGTTGGGGCCTGGTCATGATAAGCCGCGTCATCCTTTGTTCTCACATCCTGATATCGTTGCCTCCCCATCGCTCATGTTGTGCTTATGCTCCCTCAACCTCAACCCTATGCCCCTCTGATGTCCAGACATGGCAACGCATAGGCAGTGCAGCGGAGTGGGTGCTGTACTGGGCGGCACTGGTGGGGCCCACACCCTAAACCCTGGACCATCCTGATGCAACCAAGACACACAAACAAATCAAGTACGCCCATCCTCCCTCTTGCCTCTCCCTCTGCATGTGCCCCCGCATGACCCGCGCGACCATAGCCCTCGCTGCCCGCGACGCTCGACCTGCCGCTCTGCACCTCACATGCCCGCACATGGGCGTTGCATCTTCCCTGATGGCCTTCCCCGCTTTGCCGTTAGGCCTTCATTCACTGGAAGATGTACCGGTGTTGACACTCAGCTGCACCCAGTTACATCGGTGTTGACACTCAGCTGCACCCAGTTACATCGGTGTTGACACTCAGCTGCACCCAGTTTCACCGGCCTTGACACTCAGGAGCGCTTCTGATGCGAGACACGGGACAGATTGACGGTCGCCTTATCCACGGACGCTGCCACTCCTCTCCTACATGCCTCGCTTCTTCTACGTGTGCTCCCTTGTGTGTGCACCCTGAACCACTCTCACATTAAGAGCACAAGGCAATGGCGGACCAAGAAAATGCCAGGGTTTAGGCCACTCACACATACCACCGTGGGCGGGGGGGTGGATATACAAGCGGGGTGTTGGTGGGTGAGGGAGTTGGAGGCAGAGGATGCTGGCTGAGTGAGGTGTGCTAGGCGATCTTTTTTGTCCGCTACAGCTGCTAACCAGCTATTCCACCTTCCCAGTTCCTCCGCTCAGAATTGTACCCTCCTTCCCACCGGCTTCTCCTGAGAAAGTTAGAACGAGAATGAAATGACTATGAATGAAGTGAGTACAAATAGGAAACTCTAGTAGGGTTGTACCCCCTATGGGATACCCCACTATAGCCTACACAAATAAGTAAGCTACAATATTCTGACACACCCCCATAGGCAAAGTGGGGGAGAACAAGGGGTCACAAGACCAGTCAAGCAAAACAAAGCAAAGCTCAGGGTGGATCACAAAGTCACCACACATTCCGAGCACAAGTTCAAGGGCCACAAGGCCAGTTCACATGCAAGACCATATATAGAGATATACAAGAGTCAAGCAAGCAAGAGCAAGAGTATATATATAGGTCGAGGTACAAGCAAGGTCAAGAAGTGAGCAAGTGAGGCAAGACAGGCACAAGACCCAACTGCGTGCAGCAACGCTGATGATCACAAGGCGCAAGTGCCTTGGTGAAGACATCAGCAGTGTTGGCCTCAGAGGCCACGTACACAAGTCGCAACTGTCCACGCTGCTGTAGCTCACGAGCAAGAAAGTAGCGGAGAGCAATGTGCTTTGTCCTGTGCTCCAGTCGCTGCTCTCGACACAAGGCCAGCATGGCCTTGTTGTCTACGTACAGGACTGGAGGAGAACGAGGCGGCTCTCCAAGGTCGGTCAACAGGTAGGTGAGCCAGCGTAACTCCTGTGCAGCCATAGCCCCGGCGTAGATCTCAGCCTCACAACTGGAGCCGAGAACAGAAGACGAGCGGGTAGCCCGCCACGAAACAGAGCCGGAACCAAGGCTGAAGGTGTAACCCTGTGACGACCGCTGCGTAGCCTGGTCGTCAGCCCAAGAAGCGTCCGCGTGCCCAGTGAGGACCACTGGACTGCGCCCTCCAAGCACTAGCCCCATGCCCGACGTACTGCACAAGTAGCGCAACACCCTCTTCGCTGCAGCCATGTGCTCTGGTCGGTGTCTCCCAGGAGCAACATAGCGTGCAAGAATGCTAAGAGGGTATGCAAGGTCAGGTCGTGTGCAGGTCATCAGGTACATGAGGCAGCCAACAAGCTCTGCATACGGGCCACTCGACTCTACGGACTCATCCGAAGGCAGAGCTGAGAGCGAGTGGCGAGTAGGCAGAGGAGTGGCCTGAGGCGAGGAGTACGTGAAGCCGAAGCGCTGAAGGACCTGCTGCACCATGTGTGACTGAGTCAAGGTAATGGTGCGGCGTGCTCTGTCTCGGGTGATCTGCAAGCCAAGGTAGCTGTGCAGTTCACCCAGGTCAGTGCATGTGTGTCTCTTCTGCAGCTCGGACTTCACGCAGGCGAGTCCAGCAGTGTCAGCTGTGGCAAAGACCAAGTCGTCGACGTACACGAGGATGTAGAACGGCGGCAGAGAGGTGTCGGTGCGCAGAAACAGCGACGGGTCGGCAGTAGAAGGAGCAAACCCAAGTGCCGCCAGCGTAGTCCTCAGTGTGTCGTGCCACTCACGTGGCGCCTGGCGGAGACTGTAGACTGGACGCCGGAGACTCCACTGGGTACTAGGAGGGAAAGACCAAGTGAAGCCAGGTGGGCGACGCAGCCATATCTCCTCGTGCAGGCTGCCCTGCAAGAAAGCTGTGCTGAAGTCGAGAGAGTGCAGCTCGTAGTCACGGTGAGCAGCAACGTGCAGCAGTACCCGAAGAGTGGTCATCTTCGGGGTGGGGGAGAAGGTCTGAAAGTAGTCAACCCCCTGCCGCTGACTGAAGCCACGAGCCACGTAACGCGCCTTGAAGACAGGCGGAGAACCCGGCGGCCGCTTCACCCTGAAAATCCACATGCCACTGACGATGTTCGCCCCAGGAGGGGGAACAGCGTCGACGTAGGTGCCTGTGGACTTCCAGGAAGCCATCTCTGCATCCATAGCTGCCTGCCACTGAGAGGAGTAGGGACCCTCTATCGCCTCCGCGTAAGAGCGCGGAGTCGGGATGTCTAGTGCATCCGGGTCTCCCTCAGGGGCTAGCAGTACAGACGCGAGATGAGGTGAAGCGGCGGCCAGACACTGGAACTCCTCCTGCCTGTCCTCAAGGACGTCCGTGCCAAGGGCACACTCACCCCCGACGGACGGAGGAAAGGCAGACTCAGACTCAGCGACAAGACTAGCAGCGTAGTCTAGACGACAGCGCGCAGCAAAGTCGACGAGCTCAGTGACAAGGGCAGACGCAGCAGAAGACTCGAAAGAAGGGTCAGTGACAGCAGTAGCAAGGAGACGCGTGACAGTAGGACTGGCAGCACGAAGAGAGTCCGACTCCGGGTCGGCAAGAGCAGGAAGAGAGGAAGCAGGAGGAGAAGGCAAAGGGGCACGCAGAGGAGCAGTAGACGGACGCAGAGACATCCGGTGCGTGCCAGGGACAGGAGGAGGACGCTGACGCGAACCGCGACCACTAGCGCGCGCAGTACGAACAGGCGACGCAGGACGAGACGCAGGCTCACGACGCTCAGTAAGACCTCCAATCGGACCAGCGTAGGGAGAAGGAGCAGGCAAAGGTGAGGCAGGCTGGAGCTGTGACTGTGACGAGACAGGCGGTGGACCCTCTAAGGGAGGAGGAGGAGGACCAGGAGAAGGTGTAAGACCAAGAACCTGCTGCAGGAGCGGAACGAAGTACGGCCGGGGCCGCGCGGCGACGCCAGAAACAGCAGGGACCGCACCAGTACCCCCAGCAGGAGTACCCGCTCCAGCAGCACCTCCAGTAGCTCCAGAACCTCCAGCAGCACCACCTGGAGCACCGCCACTCGGACCTCTAGCGGCAGTCTTAGCATCAACACTCTCAGCAGCACCAGCTCCAGGAGAACCCTCAGACCCAGCAGCTCCAGCACCCACAGTACGAGCACCGCCGGGACGCTCGGCAGCAGTACCCTCTGCAGCCGAAGAACCTCCAGCACCAGCAACACGCCTCCAGCGCCTGGCAAACCACTCACGTAGCTCCTGAGGGGAGAGTGGCTCTCGGCGAGACGAAGCACCTCCAGGCGGAGCACCCCCAGTCTCAGCACCCCCAGGCTCAGCACCCCCAGGCTCAGCACCCCCAGGCTCAGCACCCCCAGGCCCAGCACCCCCAGGCACAGCACCCCCAGGCTCAGCACCTCCAGGCACAGCACCCCCAGGCTCAGCACCCCCACGCTCAGCACCCCCAGGCTTAGCACCCCCAGGCTCAGCACCCCCAGGCACAGCACCCCCAGGCTCAGCACCTCCAGACCCCGCACCCCCAGGCTCAGCACCCGCAGACGTAGCACCTCCAGTCTCAGCACCCCCAGGCTCAGCTCCCGCAGCCGCACCAGAGTCACCAGTGACCTCGACAGGCTCGACCGCGTCTACCTGGGACACACCGGAAGGGGCAGGACCCTGAGGGGGGAGGGGGTCTACCGGGGGGGGACCTGGTACCAAGAAGAGCGGGGGCGGGGGGAGAGACGGAGTGCGGTAGGGGAAGAGGCGGTAGTAGGGTACCGACTCGTCGAACGTGACGTCCTGGGAGGACAGAACACGTCGAGAGGTGGGGTGGTAGAACTGCCACCCAGGGGCGTCGGGGGGGAACCCAGGAAGACGCAGGGAGCAGCGCGAGGGGACAGCTTGTCCGCAGACAAGTCGCGGACAAACGCCCGATATCCCCAGACCCGGAACGCCGACACATCGCCAACCTTCCCCGTCCACAGCAGCGCTGGGGAGGTCTCCGGCCTGGAGACCCTGGGGTGGAGGTTGATCTGATGCGCTGCGTACCTGACCGCAAACGGCCACAGAAAATGGGGGGCAGCCGCATGCATCATGGACGTACGAGCGACGTCCATGACCATGCCAATGCGGCGCTCTGCAATCCCATTTTGCTGCGGGGAGTCCGGAAGCGTGAAGGTCTGGCGGATGCCTCGCGCACGACAGTAGGCACGCAGAAGGCCAGAGGAGAACTCTCCGCCTCTGTCCGAGTGCAGACGCAACACAGGAAAGTCCGAGCCAAAGCTCTGCCTGAGCTGGAGATGAGCTGCGCGGATCCAGTCGATCAGCACCTCAGTGACATCACCCTTGCTGCGCAAGGGGAAGACTGTGGTGTAACGCGAGTAGTCGTCAACCACCAGCAGGAAGTAGCGCTCGTGACCGAGTCCACGGACGCGGGCAGGGCCCCACACGTCCATGTGAAGCGTCTGCAACGGAGCCTCTGTCGGAGGAAACTGGGAGGAGTGAGGGGTAGCACGCTGGCGCCCCTCGACACAGGGGACACAGGCAGGGCCAGGGCCCTGAGGAAGGGGAGGTAGAGACCGGGGGAGACCAGACACAAGAAGACGGGAGGCCATGCCTCTGAGCCGAAGCAGAGAGGGGTGGCCAAGGCGGTGGTGCCAGAGGAGGGTCTCGTGAGACAGACGGCGACACGAACAGGGGGCAGACTCAGGACCAGACCTGGACGCTGCAGCAAACACCTGACCAGACGAAGGGACTCTACCAGACTCAGCACCTGGAGGAGAAGCAGTGGTCAGTGTGTACAGGCTCGACCCTGGCTGACGTGTAAACGTAGCCAGGTGACGACCCGTGCGAGCCTCCTTGCAGTGCGTCACTCGCTGACTAGCAGGGGTGAA